CTGATCCCGACCGAGATGAGGGATGCGGGGCAGTCTATAATGAGATTCAGTGCAGGATCTGAGCTTCTTCTATCGTTTGGCATGGTGTACCAAGTCTGGTGGGTTCAAAACAGTGCTGAGGACCGAAGATTGAGAAATATCATACGTGGTATTTCTTCTTTTGCTCTAGTATATGAGTGGTTGAATTCCGACCAATGCAGACTGAACCCTACCTTGTACGAGTTGCTTACACATGGCGTGGGTATTTTTACGGCTTTGAAGTTCGATTTTCGCCGACTATGTTATGTACCGAAACAGGGCCTGAGGTTTGTTGACATGAGAGAACAGAAGAGAAAGCGTCGACTCCCGAAAGTTGCCCGAAACAGGGATGTTGGTTTCGAATTCGGCGGAGATCTGAGCAGATCTAATCTGTGATCATTGCAGATCTTATCTAATCACTTCCTCGATCCTGGACTGCAGTCTGCAGAGAACGCAAATATCCCTTTCTTCCTCGACAACCATCTACAAAAATGTCTGGATCTACCTCGTCGACTCCCGCTGATGCTACTCCAGCTTCTGAGCTCGTTCTGCTTGCCCGGGGAGTGATAGCTCGGTTATCTATTTGGCCTGCTCTTCGGATTGCAGTGGATCAATCATGGGGAGGTCCTGCGTCCGCGCAAAAACGTACATGGCTGGCTTCTGTCATCGTAGACGCATTCGAGGAGCAGACGAACCCTCCTCCGGACGCGGAGTATGTGGAGGAGATGCTGTTACAGGTGATGGAGGATGAATTTGAAACGAACCTTGAGGACGGAAGTGCGGAAGGAGTTGCGGACGATATCATCGACTTGTGGAACCTAATTCAACAGGGTGGGGAGAAGGCAGAGGCGAAGGTGAAGGAGCTGGAGGAGAAGGCGGACAAACTGAAGGGGAAGAAGATCCAGGTGGAAGAAGGTGCTACCAACGATAGCGATTGGGAGGATGAAAGTGGCGACGAAGAAGATATCGATGATGGGGAAGAAGACGCGCCTCCTCTACTAGACAGCTCTCAGAAGCCAAAGTCGGAACCTGAGGTTGACGAGGATGGCTTCACAATGGTGAAGGGAAAGGGTAAAAGCCACAGATAGCGTATGTAGGTTCAATTCAGTTGAGTGGTGGACTTAGCCTGACCGAAAATTTGCAGTCGGTTGGCAAATCATACTGGTGGTAATACACGGCGATGATGTTGTATTCTGCGTCCATGGTTTGACGGACACGTCGAGAGGTCACTTTATGGCCCTATACTTCAACTTTGTCAGTGCGTCCTTCTTCCACTATTTACAAATATTCATAACAGGCGGAGGTCAGTGTTTCTCCTACAAAAGTAAAGGAACAACTTTCTCTGTAAAATGTATAGCTGCAATCAGATCCATGGGCATGGCGCATCCCCATGCCAAAATAGGTCCTACATCCTCTACCCGATCCTAAACATTGATATTGGTGCGGTTCATCTTGAAACTGTTCAGAAATAACATCGGATAGTATCCACGGTGGAAACTACGCTGAGTCAGCTGCACGTCAGCAAGCTCAATTTCTGGAGGACTTCTTTCCCCAAGGTGCGTACCATGATCACAGGTCCTACAAATGTCAGGATAGGTAGGGATAGGTCGAGTCCACTGGTTTGAATACTGGTCTCGCGTGGTTTCTATCAGAAAGCAAGGTAGGTGTCGCCGGTGATGACGCCCCTCAGTCACAAAACAATAGGGTATGCTACTAGAAGTCGCCCATAGTACACAGCAGACTGCGCTCGTACTCGAGCTTCAGGGACTTTATGGTAACCATGCCATCTCGCAAGACCCTCTAGTTTTATTCCCATGCTAACAGATATCTCCTTGAGGGCCGTTGCGCTACGCAATAGAACCAGGGCTTACAGGACCCACGCTTACACCGTGCAAGGACAATAAGGATTGCTCGGACATACATCCGGTGGGTGAATCTGCAGCATGTCAAGACTGTTATTGTCAATGCAAACCACGAGTAGGCCTCGTCAGTGTCTCGTACCTCACTTTATTGTCTACACATCCTGTCCGGGACGTTCTCGGGCGAAAGAAAATCTATGGTCCTCCTGCACGTGCTTCAGTAAGTGAATGACAATAAGCCAAATCGGGAAGGTGAGTATCTTTGCATCCGAAAAGTCAAGTTTCATCTGACGGCTTCTCAGCGTGTACCTCAGAACCAATACATTCCGAACATATAGGTCAGAACCGCCTGGAATCTGGCAGTATCTCAAAGTGTACTCTCCTTCCCGTGTCTAAACGCCCAACCTCGAGTCATCTCGATGGACTCCAAGTTTGCATCTCTGCTGTGTACGATAGCAATCGCAACAAAAAGCATGCATGTGCAGAACGTGTATGAGGATAGTAAGCTCTCTTGGCTGCGCTGATATGCCTTACGAGATCGGTCCCTGGAACGCCACCTCATTCTCCCCCGTTATTGTGAAGCGAGAGGTGTTCCGGTGTCAGGAACTATCGCGTCTCGTACTGCGAGCCGTACTGCACTCCCGGACGCATGACAATAACGAAGCAACCTCTCAGCTTAGATCCATCTGCCTTTTTCAGCCTTATAAAAGGAGATGGCTCCACTTCCTTCACTCCTCAGAAGCGTCTTCCAAGTCTTGTCTTAGCAGCCTTTCACAACTCTTTTTCGAGCTCGCTGCTTACCGCATCTTCACTAGCACTCATGGATTCCTTCTTCAACATCGCTTCTATCATCCCTACTGAGGAACCCGAAGTTCCCGTAGAAGCTGAGAGCAGCAGTGGTGGCCAGAACAGGTGTATCATCGCCTAAGGCGACCTACTCTCAGATTACCTTCCTAGGCTTCGGCCTCGTAAGTGATTTCTTCTTGGACGTGGTATATACCTTCTAACGTCACAATCAACAGATACATCCGATTGACGAGTCTAATACTTGTCTTAACGAGCATAGCAGCATCTCGGCCCTTTTCGTTTCTTCCCGAATGCTTGCCGTCGAATCTGCTGATGCAGACTTCACAACACCCTCCTTCTTTCCACATAACTTATCACTTCTTTGCTGGCATTGTACAGTATTCATTCACACCTTCCCCCCTTTGTTTATTTTGGGCTTAACGATTTGAAGAGCATGGACGGATCCGTCGCACGGTGAAGTTGTAGGATTGCGCGCGCATGACTGGGAGGAGGTTATCATGGATTTCGATTGTTGTACTCGAGTAGATTTGTCTCATCTAACAACTCATTCTGTGATCACTGGATTCGACGTTACATACTTAGCTACACTGCATATTCTGCACGACTGACTATGTACTTGCACACCAGCTTACGCTTGCCAGTGAGGTCAACAAGCGTATCGTAAATGCGGCTGCCGAGCTGTTTGTCCTTATTAGGATGGGAAGGCGTTGCCATACGAGTTGCCACCACGCATTGACTTCGCTCCAGACAATTAGGATGCAACTCATGCTCACCTTGTCTCGCGTCAGCACAATTGGATCTGGTACCGAAAGGTCGCGAAGGCGACAATATTCAATTGGAAATAGCTTGGCTGGGTAACCTGCGTTTCGACCCGAGTTTATTGTTTCGCGGAACCAAGATGCTTCAACCGTTCATCGTTTGGCCATTCTGCGTATGTCAATGCCATGTCGACGTCCTGTAGGATCTCTCAGGCTACTGCTTGCTAATGGTTCGCCGATATGATTCTTCCCCTTGAACACTGAACTACCCTAGGAAGCCAAGCAATGAGCGAAGCTGGTTGTACGTCCTACTCTGACCCTGCGTTTCTCCCTACGTCAATCCCACAGGGAAGCTTGCTTTGTGGGTCAACTCTCCCAGCAGCAGCAAAGCTTGCCTGGTTACCTTATCAACACTAAGCGTCATGGACTGTCGGATCTCCGTTGTATGTATGACAATCACGTATTCCGAGTTGCCCTTCGGCGACACGAACACAATAGGCCTCTCGCGATTAACTTCACGGGCTGTGTAAGGCGTGAAAGCAAATCTGTAGTGACTCTTTCTTTCTGATTCTCCGTCGTCGGATCTTTGCTCGAGACGATGCGCAGCTCACGGTATGAGGCATATAGCTCTTTTGTGTCTGCCGCTCCAAATTGAAATTAAAGTTGGGGCCTCTAGGTATAAGTACGAGCAATGCTCGGCGACTCTTACCCATACCGCTCACTTCGCACCACTGGTTTGGTTGTATATCTGCATCTGCATACCTTCGCATCAGTTTTCATTGCATTAACTCCTCCACTCGCCACCTTAGCCCTCCATGGACTCCTTCGACGACATCACAGACATCCTCTCCTCGGAAGAGCCTATGGACATCCCCGTCGACTCAGAAGGATACCAGAGAGGCCAATATCGTTGCATTATCTCTTGAATTGTACTCATCGAAGTCTGTGCGCAACCCTTCCCTTTTTTCGACGTAATATCCCGCTCATATTTAGGCATACAGACAACTACTTAGATACTTCATTTAGTCCACCCTCGACCACAATCACCATTACTGTCTCGTCAGACTCGCACGATCTATGATGACATACAATATGTCACCGTATAATCTGAAACCCTCTCTCAGATTTCTACTTCCACCGAATAGTGAGTGCACATTGAATATCACTGCACAATTGCCTTTAAATATCTTCTCTCTTACAGATCACAGGACATTCTGGTTGATTCTCCTTAAAGTTCATGATATGTGACGCTTCACGCTCATTTCTGCAGTTATATTTTCTTTACACTTTCTTCACTCTCCATGGACTATTCGCAATATCGCCTCCACTTAGCCAAGGACGCCATCGCTGTAGCCTTGTACATTGTTACTGTGACGCTACATTCCAGGCTTGACGTATCCAATGTAGCATGGTAGCCAACGGTCTAAAACGTTCACTTGTCCCCGTAGCCATATCATGGAGGCGAAAGCGGGGCGAAACTTGAACATACCTCCCCTACAGATCAAGACAATCGTTCTGATCTCTTGATTATATATACATTATTTGACTTCCATTTCATGCACTAATGGGGTAGTGGTAACCTGGGTCGTTGCCATTCGAGTCGAAAGCTCGACCCGCCGGGGGTTCGATTCCCCCTTAGTGCACTACCGTACAAGAAGGAGATTCGTCTTTTTGGGTGAATTTCCTGTGCTCGATTCAATTGAGAGTCACCTCAGACAGATTAATCATTACAGTCTTACTGAGACTGCAAGCCTGTTGGCTTTATTTTGTTCATGATTGCTTGCAACTTCAATATCCAGTGGGTGTACTCAGAGCTACTCAGAGTCACCAACTTAGAGGTTCATTACCGTTCATACCAGGTCCATACATAGGCACTGCGTTTTCTCTGATCATGATGTCAACTCTTCTGTCTGAGACACTGTCTCACTTCCTGAGAACTCTGTATGTTCCTTCAGAGTCCCATCTTTACTGACATCGCTAGTTCCTCCCATGGCCATGTGCAAGCGTGTGTGCATCATCTCTGCGGATGCCGGGCAACGTCGACGTCGTTCGCCGGGTCGAAGAGACAGTCTTGAGACTCGGACACGCTCTGTTGGGCCGATTTCCTCTTGTGCAGCATTTCATGCAAGTTTGCGGCGCATTGCGATTTCTTCCTCTCTCCGACTATACCTGGAGCCTCCTGGAGCTCAGCATTAGCCATGCTACAGTGCTTTGCATATGATCGTGCCGGTTGCATTGGGCACGAAGTTGTTTGTGTCTGCCAAACAGTGACAGGCCCGACCGGTCCGATATCACAGATACCTCTTTTGGGTGTGTCACAGCGCAGCGCGTCGAGAACGAACTTGAGATCTTGGTATGTACATTGTACATGTACCTGCAATGCTTCCACCGCGCTCGCAACCGTAGTGTCTGTAGCAATTACTGGCATGTTCAGAATGAACGTCGTCGGATGTGGATGGTTGTACAACTCAAAACTAATTGTAACGGAAACGAGTGACCCTCCTGTGACCCCGCTGTGACCCCCTGTGACTATTTGGCTCGTACAAACAACTTCGTGCGAGTGCAACCGGCACGATCATATGCAAAGCACTGTAGTATTCCCGGAATCTCATCTGCTCAAGCAATTCAATCACGTTTGAACGGTATCACTGATAGGGACTTGGCCCATCAAACCACCCTCTTCGTACGTCCGTGTCATATATATTCTATCAAAGTACCGAGGTTGATGAGGGATCGCACATGATAGATATCTGCAAGTATCAAAGCAGCACCGGGCCCGTCGATCCTTGTACTGCATATGAGATGTCGCCATGTAAACTCACCGACATCCGAGAGCTCCTCGCCGATCCCCTTCTCTCCCAGAACTCTCCCCCCGCCCGCGTATGCACATTGAAGACGTCGTCTGTGAAGAGCTAGAGACATGACGTTCTTCGCATCGAGGGCAGGATGGGAGATAGAGCAGGGCTTCATGGCTGCTGCCTCGCTCATCGGGGGTCTCCTTGTCTTGATCCCTCTTACGTGGTTCCTTCAAGGTTAGTCCGCGTATCCCTCTTTGCATAGCACAAACGGTGGGACCAATTCAATGTTAATCTACATAGCTTGGAACGTTGGCTGTGTCCTCTATATCTTTTGGACGTCTTTGGTATGCATCTTGCAGTTCGTGAACAACATGATCTGGCGGGATAATGCAAGGAACGTCTCTCCGATATTCTGTGATATCTGTGAGTTCCTCATAACGTGCCGTATTCCTACTGTACCTTACTGGGATCATTACGCAGGGGTACGCGTTCAATGGGCAGCGGGAATGGGCATCATCTCTGCGGGACTCGTCATCGCCCGACGAGTAGCCCTAATCACAGCAGCATCCAACAGATTCCAGCACAATACGAACGGACGACGCATGATGTATATCGACTTGGTCATCGGGCTGGTTCCGCCATTGTTGCAAATCGCTCTTTGTGAGGACGTTCCCTAGATTATGTGTTTCCAACTAAACGAATACATGGTCTGCGCACAGTCTTCGTCCAACAAGGCCATCGTTTCGATGTTTATGAGGGGATAGGGTGTTACCCTGCCATACCTCCGTCCATCATTTCCATATGCCTCACGTCCGTAACCTGTCTGATCATTGGAATTGTCTCCGCTGCGTACTGCTGTAAGTCCCCATGGTACCTATTCACCATCCTTCTACTCACATCCAATGCTCAGTCCAAACATTACGCGGACTCTACCGCCGTCACCGCATGATAGATGGCGTCCTCTCCGACGTAGGCGTCTCTACGGACCGATACTACCGTCTCCTCATCATGGCAATCCTCGAACCCTCTTGTACCATCCCCATCTCCATCTACAACCTCGTCCTCTCCGTGCAATACTACTACCCCTGGCGAGGATTCGCAGACCTTCATTTCGGATTCGATCGCGTTGATCAATTCCCGTACGAATTATGGACCGCACAACAATCGAATGCACCCCTCCGAGAAGAGTGGTACCAAACTGGATGTGCATTGGTATTCTTCCTGATATTCGGAACTACGAGGGAAGCGTTCAAGCGATATAGAGCTGCGTTTCGTTGGGTCGCGGAGCGTTTGGGGGTCAAGTTTAAGCAGGAGGTGGAAGAGGAGGGTAGTACGTTTGCAGCTGCCCCTGTCAGTCCGAGGAAGCATTGGTGGGATACTACCGGGTCGAGTTATACTATGAATAACCTCTCGTTTGCTTCTGCTTCCAATGTAAGCTCTAACACTGTTACTTCGAAAGTCAACCCGGATCGCCCTTTGTAACATTATGTTGTATCATCATAGCCGGCTTTTTATCTTGTAATGAATGAATATAGAATGATGTACTTATCTCTTGAAAGATTGCATTGCATCGATCCTCCAAAGACACAATCTGTCCACCAAGGTCTTTATACTTGAACTATACAGGAGCATTGGTTACAACATAAATAGCAACATCGTATCCATGATATCGTATACAAATGTCAAAATCGTCATGCAGTCCAGACAAGACGCGTGCTGATCTCTGTACAAAACGTCGAGGTCGCAACATCCACACAACCAGCAGCCAACACCAAGCAATACAGCGACCAAAAACAAGAACAAAAAATACGAAATCGCAAGATCTCAACTACTCACCACACTTCTACTGAAATGATATCGAAAGCTCTTCGTCCTCCACAAGCGCAGTCCAATCAACTCAAATGGATGCCTTACCCCTAGGTTCGTAAGGCAAGAACAGCGCCAGGAGACCACTGCCAATAATGAGAGCCCCAGAAACATACACTGGGACAGCAGTCTGGAGGTTCGCGTACAGCGCAATCACCGGAGCCTAGTACACGATAGAAAGTTTAGTGTGAGTGCGAAGGGTAGGAGGGTGGAAGGGGAAGGGACGTACGATGATTCCGAAGACGCGAGTCGCTGTGGCGGTTAGGCCGTTACCTGTTCCCCGATCTTTGGCTGGGAAGATCTCAGGGGAGATGGCGTAGAGAACACCGTACATGATCTAAGCAAGACAATAAGAGCTTCAGTATAGTCACTACGACGGATCACTAGCATGAGAACTGACGTTACTATGGAAGGCATACCTACACCACCCACCAAACTCCAATTAGCCTTCATCCAATAACACGCCAAAGAAAGCCCATATCACTCACCCGCAATTCCACCCGAGCAGCGCATTCGAGCTCCTCGCGGTGGTACTCGCGAACAAAAAGACACCAGTGAGCCCTATCTTACGCGAGGGGTCGTTGAATAATGAAACCACCAAAGAAAAATCAAACACATCACTCGCCCGCGGAGATTGCTAATGTTCCCTTTCGGCCTATGTACCGTTGTTCGACTGCCCAGCCTGCGAGGAAGGCGCCTGGGACGCCGATGACGCTTAGGATGACTTGCTGTTGACGGATAGAGTGAGTGAGAGTTCGGTGGAGTGGAAAGAGGTAAAACGTACGTTGCGATATGCGATGTAGTAGGAGTTGTCGCCGAAGTGGGCTCCGCGACTTGCAAGAAGGTATGGCAGGAAATTGTTATAGAGCGTAGATGCAAGGCCAATGATACCTGCAAAACGGGATCAGCCTGCATCCTGCGACAGAGCACATGTATAGCATACCCCACAACGCGATGAGCAGCGAAGTAGACCAAGCCATTTTACGAGTTTTGAACAAGGCCTTGACGTGATCGATACTCCAATCCGAGCTTTGACTCAACACCTTCGATTTTCCAGTATCCTGGATACCGTATTTCTTGCGAGCTTCCTCTCCAACATGTACAAGTTGGTCGACAGTCAAATCGCTCGTTGTGCCATTGAACTTTGCAATGCGATGTATCACGGCGACTGCTGCTTCATCGTTACCTTTGCCTACGAGGTACCTTGGAGATTCCTCGAGGTGGAAGACGAAGAAACGGAAGGCCCATAGGAGGAGAGTTACTCCTCCAAGTGTGAACAGAAGGTACCGCCAACCCATGTTATCGGTTCGGGAACAGCTGGTTGAATCTTGGGGACATGAGAGATTGGCGATGAGAGGCCATGCGATCTATAAAAGAATCATGACGTCAGAAACCAGAAGCTTAAGGTTTTTTCACAGCGGTACTGACCAAGTTGACGAATAGCTGTCCGAGGGACCACCATATGGAGAGAATAGTCAAGAGATATTGGTGTGTGCCGGGGACAAAGTCAAGGAAGACGGCAGAGTCCACGGGGAGGTTTCCCCCGACGCCGATGCCCATGACAGCCAGAAGGGAAGCGAGAGTGACAAAATTCCCTGCTCCCCCAGACGAAAGACCGAATACTCCAGCGATAAGCAATGTAATATTGAACGACCATCTTCGTCCCCAGATATCACATCCTAAGCCCCAGAACACGGCGCCAACGAACAAACCGATGTTCATGGCGAGGGAGAGGAAGGGACCTTGGAATCTGAACTCGCTCACTACAGGTGCGAGAATTAATCCTCCGAGTAACGGCCATACGCTGTCACTGTATTTCATAAGAACGAAATATGTAAGATATAGCAAGCAAAAATATTGACAGGAGGGGACGCACGCGAACCACCCGAATCCGGCCACGAAGAACAGATACCACTGTATCCTCGTGATCAGCAAAGGGATTAAGACGAACCGGGGGTGTACTCACCTGATATCTCCCC